GTCTTATTTGAAGACTGTAATGAAATAACTTCTGGAAATACAACTGAAGTACTAGAAAGTTCAGCAGACTGGACATATTACCAGGGCTTTAAGCTTTAGCTCCTAGAGAAACTCTGGTGCCTCTTCTTTTAAAGTACATAAATAGAGAAATAAAGAAATAATGAAAATTGAATTTTGCAGGATGTATAAAGATTACAATAGTTAAAAATGCAATGCCAAAGTTTTGAGTAAGACATATTGGTCTTGCAGAGATATGTCAATAGCAGAGGACAATTGCTGCAATTTGAAAACAATAAAACTGATGAAAAATTTATCTGATAAGAAGTGGGTTTGTTTTAATGTTTTCTTCTTAAGTGGCACTAATCTTTTTTGATCAAAATCACAGATTGAATTTGTTCTGCCAACAAGACCCCCTCCAAAAGAGATTTAAGAGAACTGGAATGAGCAAAGTTCATAAGAGAATAATCCTTAGGGAGAAATTTTATCAACATCTCTAGAACTTAAAGCAACCTGGCACATTTTATGTCTGTGTTCAGTGTATTGTTATTCAATTTAATGTAGCACTGATTAGGAGAAACAATTAATTAAATTATTATATTTCTCTTCAAAGAGAAACCTAACTGGGGAAAGATTTTTAATTAAGTATTTTTTTCATATCACAGTTGTCCCATTAAACTTTCCAGTACAGCAAACTTTGAATCCAGTGAAGAACCACAATGCATTTTATTTAAAACTAAGTTTTAATCTGGAGTCCTGTGTGATCACAGCATCTTTCCATGCAGAAGTATTTGAAATTTATTGGGTTTTTTTTGTTTTGGGCTTTTTTAATAGGGGCAGGGCCCCCCCCTAAACTGCATCACATCAGCTTACTAGAATCCCTGTTGTTCAGGTAATACTGAGCTTGGCAGCTGTCAGCAGATCAGCTGCAAAGCTAGTTACTGCAAGAGATAGAGCAACTTCTGCAACAAGAACTTCCATATTCCCTATTATTTATTTTGTAAAAAAGGAGCCATTTACTTCTCTACTATTCCCCAGCCACTGCAGTAACAGTAACATACAAAAAATGAGGAAAAAGAGATGAGGTACTGCAACTACTGGAGTCTACCGCTCTCCCTAACAGTGCCAGCTACATCTACCTCATTTGTGATTTAGAAGGGATCCCGGTCTACTCCAATTCTCTAGCAATGGAAACTAAGAGAGAATTTCTTGTCATTGCCAAAGCTTAAAGGAACATATTGATATTATGTCACATATATATGATTACAAAGGATGAACCACAAGCTAGAAAGGTTAGCAAATCTGGAGTGCAGAATTAACATGGAAGAGAGATGCTTTGGAAGGCAAGAGTACTTCAAAGGACACAAATTATGTCTCTCTTCAAGATAAAAATGCAAATACCATTATGACTTCAAGTGTACCACTATTGAGGTATTATTGCAGTTTCTCCACTTTGTACTATATGTGTAGTAAAAGAAGGTACAGCTTAGCATGAACAGCAGGGCACTAGCAGGCCCAACACAATACCAAGAATGGTGCCAGTGTAGCTGCTAATATTAAAAAGAAGAACAGATGGGAACTCCTTAATCCTCCTTCTCATCGCCCTTGACTCTCTCCTAGGTAAATCAGCATCTGTTGTCTTGACTCTGTTGATTGCTGAGTATCTCTCATCTCTCCACATTCCCAACTGTGAGAAGCAGTGTGACACAGCACACCAGTGATTCATGCCAGACATGCACTTACATTCCTCATTTTAAATGCAAACTTCAGTACCATTCTCAAGCTTCATGTCTGGTTGCAGCATCCAGGACTTCCCTGCTCAGAAGCATTACTGGGAAGGAAACCTGTCTTGCTTTAATTTGGACAAGCTCTGAGTATTTTTTTATAAACACCTGTAAACTGCCAAAGACTCAGGAGGGCTGATGTTCATGGGGAACAGAAAAATTCTTTTCAACTTCAATAATACCAAGAACATCTGAAAATGACTTTTCAGATTCAGAGGTAATTCACAGTGGAATTCAGCACCCGGGCCACTTTCAGTAGTAGAGAAGTTCATTCCTAAATCTGACACAAAGACACTGATAACTAGACTGCATAACAGAATAATACTGAGGAAGAATTTTAGAGTGGTCAAATGGTATGAAAATGGCATTTCTCTTGGGCAGAGAAATGCAAACGCTTTTTCTATGATCAATATACAGATCTAGAAAAATCTCTTTGACAGATTTTCCTTGACAGGGAAAACAGTAAAATGAGAACAGACCCCAAATGCACAAATTATACTATTTGAAGAGCAAGTCATAATGCAGAAATGTTAGTATAATTAAGTCACAGATTTAAACTGCTGCAAACATGCGGTGTATGGTATGTATTCTGCTATCATTAAAATGCTCAATGTTGTTTATGTAACTGGAAATCTTTGTGCTTGTCTTGATAATTTAAAAAGTTAATTTGTTTCCCTACAATGTAGGAAGTGGGACAGAAGTTACGGTGACATGAATTCGTAGTTCCAGATCAAACTACAGAGGGGAAGAAGCCAGAAGTCCCATAGCCAGACATGCAGCCAAAGGATTGCTGTGAGGCAAGACTGTATGTGGCAGTGCCACCTGGTGACTGATGCTGGGACAAAGTCCTCTGGAATTATTATCTAGCACAGAGACTTATTGTATGAAATAATAAATTTTCCTTACTTTTCCAAAGCTCATTACATGAAGTGCAAAACTGACATTGAAACTTCCAATTTATATATATGTAACAATATTTGTAATGTAAGCACTGACAGAGTATTTGGAAACTATAGTATTTACACATATTAAACAGAAAGGGTTCTCGAAGTAGGGCAGTTTTGTAATTAGCCATAGCAGGTAAATGCAGTTTAGGGAAAAGAAAACCCAGAAATACTAAAATTAGCCTTCCTTCATGGAGAAGATCAGCGATCTCAGCTTCTTTACTTCCTCAATGCCACAAAGTCATACATAATTTAGAGACATATCCCAGTAACTCAACTGAATGCCAGGTCATTTCTCCACCTTCCCTCAGAAAAGCCTTGGAAACAAGAATGAGGAAATCTTTCCAAGCACACAGGACTGGATATGAGAAATGTCGAGTATCATCCTTCTGACTTGTGTGCTGGTACTGGCTAGGGAATAATTCCTTTTCATTACAGAGCTAGTAGAAGGCTTGGATTTGTGCTGTGAACATTGTTAATAGCAGATATGGGTTGTTTTTTGTTGCTGAGGAGGGCTTACACAGAGCGAAGGCCTTTTCTGCTTCTCACACCACCCCACCAGTGAGGGAGCTGGGGGTGCACAAATAGTTAGGAGGGGTCAGTTGGGACAGCTGATCCCAACTGACCCAAGGAATATCCAATACCATATGACATCATGCTCAGTATATAAAGTAGGGGGAAAAAGGGGGAACAGTCAAGTGGGGAATGAATTCCTTGGTTTGCTTTGCTTGCCTGTGCAGCTTCTGCTTTACCTACTGAACTATCTTTATCTCAACCCATGAGTTTTCTCACTTTCACCCTTTGATTGCCCCGGTCATCCCCCAGCAAGGGGACTGAGGGAGCAGCTGTGGGGTGCTTGGCTGCCAGGTGGGGTTAAACCACAGCACCTCATACACTAAAGAGCCGAGAGCAGATCTGTATGAGTATGGATGCTGTGCAATAAAAGCAAAAGTTAAGGAAATATTTGGCCAAAATTTCATAGTGACAAGCAAATCCAATTATGAGCAGGCTGAGCCTTACAAAGGAAGCTCTGCAACAGCATACCAGGCAAGCTGAGGTCAAGGCACTTAGGTCAGGTACTGACCTGCACCAATCCAGCTTCCTAATGAAGCAAATGCCTGGCAAGTTATCAGCCCAACCAACAGCTATGTAACTGTACTAAAAATCCATCTGGGAAAGGAGCTCTACCATGATCAACCACAGAATCTTGAGAGGACAGAGACAGCTCCGTTTATTGTGCTTCCCCCTCCACGTCCCCAACCAGTAGCAGTGGTTCTTCAGAGATATGGCATTTTTTCCTCTGCAAGTATATCAAATGACTCAAGACACATTTTTGTGTTATTCTAGTACCCACAAGGTCTTAACAGAACCACCCTGCATGCCTCTGCAAAGGAGTGGAAATTACACTCTCATTACACCTAAGGCCAAGAGGGTAATAAAACATTCAAACAGGAAAAAGAAACATTCTTCCCCCAGTTTATCACCTCTCTACCTTTGTTTTTAATTCATCTAAGGAAACGTGTCTTCAAGTGCTCAAATAAAGTGCAAAGGCTTAAAAGGGGGAATGTAAAAGCAAAGGGGGTGGGCTCACAATGAACAGGAAAGTCACATACCTTCAAAATGTGGCTAAAGAAAGGCAGTACAATTTTATGGAAGAAGAAACAGAGACATGCTTTTACTCGGCCTAAGTATGCAGAAGCTACATATATAAAACACTAATGCACAGACATAGTCCAGCTATTCGTGCGCTCCATCTGTGGAGCTTTCTACAAAATAGCTTTCTGCAAGTGTGCTGGTGTGTTTAAACTGTATGGGGGGAAAAAAAGAAAAAGTCATGTAAAGAAGACAACAGTCATGGTTAAGACATTCCTTCATTATTCCCTCCCCTGAATTTGTTGACTGTGCAAGACCCTCCCCCGCCTTTCCTTCCTCCTGCTCTGTTCTAGGCAAATGTTGAAAAAAATAAAAGGTTTACTTGTCTCCTAAATACAGTTAAGGAAAGAAAATCACTTGAATGTAATTTCCTGCAAAATTTCATTAATCTCACATGTCCTCTGCCTTTCCCTGGTTCAATACAACATTTTGTCTAGCTTCAAGTAATTGATGCAAAGAGTCCTTGCAGCCTGCAGTTACCCATTAACTCCTTGGTACCTCATCATGGAGAAAGACTGCATATGTCTGAACTTCATCCTAATTTAATGAGGAAAGAAATTTAGTCATTGTGTAGTCCTGAACTTTACTCATTGCAGTATTTACAAAACAGACTTCCATGCAGTAGGCTTAAAACAAAACACAAATCAGCTTTGTCTTTATTACCTACATGTTTAATGACTGTGGACTTACAAAAATATTCATGTTATACAATTTCTATTAATCAACAATTAGGAACACATAAGGACTCCTGATTTTCTTTGAAAAGATCTGGTTTCTTCACATATAGACAAACAAATCACCAGCTTGTTTGGACATGTTAGTATTGCTACCCTTAAAACTGTTTTTTGTTTGGTTTCCTTTTAATAAAATACTTAATTCTTCCATTACTCAGTAGAGGAACTCCTGCTGACAGTGACGCATTTCAAAAGTTTGACTACATAGCCAACTTTAAGTCATACCTCCTCTGAAAATTCTAAAGACAGTAAATTAGTATAGTATACATGTCCAAGCATCTTCCAGCCAGAATTACAACATGCTGGAGTTCAGGGACATTTAAAAAAATATTAATCAATACTTCTAGAATATCTGACTTGACAAAATAAAGGTCTTTACAAAGGCTGACAACTTTCTGCTCTTGCTGACAGGGAAAGCAAAAATGCTAACTGGGAGTTTCCTCATTACCTTCCAGCATCTACTGAATTGTTAAGACATGATAAATTAAATCTTCTTTTCTATGCAGTTCCAATGAAGGCACAAGTATTTCCAGCTATATGAAGAATTTATGTGCATTGGAACACATAGGAAGTTATTTGTAAGGCTCCAGCTTTACTAAAAAAAAAGACAACCTTATTTTTTTCTGGAACTCTTATATTGATGTAAAACAATTCACGAGGCCAAAGCATGACAATGTTTTCCAGTTATAGCTGCCTTACACTCCCACTTCTGCAAAGTAAAAAAAAAAACAAATCAGCTGCTCACATCCCTTTTCCATACACATTTGCTCTATCATTCAGCCCTGAGCTCCTGCACACAGACAAGGGAAGAGACAAATGGGAAGTGTGCTCCCAAGAGCATTCGGTGACACTATACCAGGAGGGTCCCAGAGAACACCAATCTCCTCTCCCCAGCCACAAAGCAAACACCTCAGATTTCAACCAACATAAACAAAGTATTATCCAGATCCATGGATCTGGCCAAAAACTTTTGTCAAAGCCAACACAGTTTCACTTATTTGGGCTTCTAATAGAGTCCAAGAACTGTTTTTACACATCACATGTAATGCTTAAAATAGGGGCATTCCTGAAAGGATTGTAGCATATGTAGCACACACAATGTGCTGCAGTTTATTTTCATAGCACAAAAAGGCAGGCATAACCTGTATCAATGACTTTCAGCCAGCTCTTAAAAATGTTAATTTAAAAAACAGATTTGAGTTAGAAAGGTAGATGTTCGCATTTTAAGTGAAATAATTTGAGGATCTGTCCCAGCAAAGCTGGTGCTCAGTCACTGCCAGCCTGAAGCTGAAGCAGAAACTTCAATCTGCTTATCAGTGTGAATTATCTCTCTTCAGAGTTACTTATTCTACTCTACCATCAGCATGTCTGGAGATGCAAGAGTATTGCTTTATTTACATCCCACAATATTTGCAGTGTGTTTTGCTTTATGGAAAACTCAAGGAAAAAAATTATGAGGAAAGCATGCAAGCACATTGGATTAATCACTCCCTTTTAGAAATGCCCCATTCTTCAACATCAAAGTCAAAATTTTGTTGGTTAGGACACCTTATTAGAGCACGTATGCAGAACACAGTCCAGTGTCTGCCTGTTACAAAGCAACATGCAAAGAAATCTTTTAGTGTGGTCCGTTCTCTGATGTGCTTGGCTACCTCTCCAGCCTGGATTTTCAAGTTTTCTCTTGACTTTTCTAGTTCAGAGGTTGAAGTGAGGTATCTAAATCAATATTTTAATTTAATTAGAGAGAAGACTGCTGACCAAAACATCAAGCAGAATGCCACAGATTAACAATGGATGAAATGAAAAAGCAGAAACCCATTAAAACATTTTTGAATTTATTTGCCTTTCTACCTTTATGAAAAAATTAGCCTCTGGGTTTCATTTGAGAGAATTTTGGGGCTCTGAAAAAACTTAATGCATTAATTCCATCTTTATAAGCCTAGGTGGTGGGAAATAAATAGTTGAAATAAACAAGCTGTTAGGACAAGTACATTCTCCAGTTATTAAAAGACTTGAAGCCAGATATGTAAATAGCTGCAATCAACTACCTAACAATGCTATTCTTCAAGAGTAGCTGTATGCTTGTAACTTCATATTCTCCTTATATGTAATACTACTGTTGTGTCCAAGCCCATCCTAATTTTACTAATAAAAATATTAACATGGGATTTACACTTCTCTCAATATCTTCCCAGTCAACATTTTCAGGTATCTTTATGCACTACAGAATTTAGTGTGTAGTTTCTTTCTCGTGGTATTAGGAAGTCTATAGAGATGCTCCTCCATATACATCCTGATCTTTTGTCTACCAGGATGAGCAAAGCTGGACATGTTTTCACAAACACTGCAGAGTTGACTTCAATTAATCAAAAGCGAAGAAATCTTCACAGCAATGCAAGGGTGATGCTGACCAACTCCTGTCAAGAAGACAAGGATACATACCTTGCTGAACACTGGCACTTTATTCCCTATGCAGAATGGAAAGTTTACTTGATCTTCCTCCAACATGTCACTGGAAATAAAAGTTCCCTTCAAACTGTTTCAAGAACAGATGCCATTTCCTTGAACTGTCTGAAGAAGTTCTAAAAAGCAAGAATTGAGACAAATTTAAGTTGCTTGAAGAAAAGCTCAAACTGCAGTTCAAACTAGTGTGTTAAGACAATAGACACTGTCCATACTTCTCTCTTTCAATGTACAGCTTGAACTGAAAGTTTCTGCTTTTCTTTCTGCGGGCTGGTTGCCATTTGAACACATTAACTATGAAACCTATAAAGGTGATGCCTTATTAGCACGGGCTTGCTTATTAATAGAAAAAGATGCTACAAAAGAAAAAATTAAAAGTAGCTCTTGTGCAATAAAAAATATTATTAAAAAAACCTTTCTCACACAAATATTTCTACTCCCATCTGAAATAATCCAGACTTCTCAGATGTAGCATTCATTTCCTGAAGCAGCTGAACAACAAATTATTAAATAGGCTTTAACCAGAATAAATAGAACATTTTATAACATCCAAGGTTTCAGAATAGCCTTCTCAAATTTCTGCAAATTCCAAAAATCTATTTAAGTTTGTATGATATTCTACATAACATATTGACCTTTTAAACAGGAATGACAATACAAGGGTGATGTTTATGCAGAATTAAAGTTACATAAATTCATAGATGGAGATATAGCAATTAAGAGCCAGTAGTGATAAACCAAGACTGATCTCCATTCCTAATCATTAGCAACTGTTAGGTTTAAACTAAGTTTTAGATTTTGAGGCTGGGGAACAATTCCATAGCTCAAAAATGCTCTATGAACTTTTAATATGGCAGAATGATAGCTGGCAAGCTCTGAAAGATTTCATGTCTTTGGTTGTTAGTTTATTTGTAAGAGAAATTATCAATTACTGTTAAATTAACATTTTCAGCTAAGTAAGGTAGAACTAAATACTATGAAATAGTCTGTGTTTTAAATAGTTATTTAATGCTTCCTGTTTGCATGAATGTACAAATAAACAAGCAGCACAATCATCAGGGTATGCACCTGACCCTCACAACAATGGCACTGTTGTTTTTAGGAGACTGAATATTCAAGTAACAGTTGACAGACCTTGAACTGTGGGATGGTCATTTCAAAAGATTTGTCTGTTATTTGTCCTGAAGGGTCTGCCACTGTTAGTGTCACTGTGACATACGGGTACTTCAGAGACCTGCAGGTGTCAGAGCTCATTGCAACTCCCAGTTTCCATTTCATATCTACAAACTACAAAGATGAAAATTATTGGAACTAGTGTCACAGACAGAGATCTGCCCCCCCCATTACCCCCCCCTTCACTTGGAGGGATAGCTCATAGACAATATGGGACATCTAGAGATCTTATCCAAATGGAAAGCAAACATAAACATTCAGGTATTATTGTGACTACAAATCATCTCCCCTTCCCTCTAATGGTGAATAAATAAGTAATTGAATAAGTTATTTCACTTTATCTGTTACTCTTGTTCAAGTACAATCAACAGGCAAGTACACTCTTCTTAAATTCTAGTAAGAGAAGCTTAAGCCACAGAGTCCACCCAGCTTGTATATAATGCTTGCAAGTTTTTGTCATGTTTTCTTTTTTATAGAAGTTTCTAAGTCTAAATCAAATAATTCAGAATAGCAATAACAGAGAAAAATTATGGTATTTCATAACTACATTTTAGATAAATATAAGTACATAACAGATACATTTCAGACAAGTAAAGTAATAATTTATAGTCTTTCATGAAGAAGAGCCTTTAGAAGTTTATATCATGCCTCAGAAAAAGATCCTTTCCTATTTCTATACTCTTCTAAATTCAGAAAAAAAAAATCTTAAAATGTAAACAGATTGCTACCTTTTCAAGGAAAAAGGAAATGCTGGAAACCAGCAGAAAGTATCTTTAAAAATAATGTTTAAATTTAAGGGAGGCAAAGAATGTGCAGAGGAAGGAGACAGAGGAAGTCAAGTGCTGGTGTTAACAACTTTAAAGAACAATTTACACTTAAAACAGATTTACATAATGAGCCAATTCTGACTGCCATTCATCTTCCCTAAAAGTACTACAAAACCTGAATTTTTAAAAAGGTAGAAAATGTGACTTTATTATCCAAACAATAATATTAGAGTACTAGAAATACATGTTTTCAGCATGTGGACAACCTTTATTGTATATGCTGCTTTATCTGGGAAGGTATTTGGCAACATGCAAATGTGCACACAGGTAGGAAAGCTTCCAGCACCCTATCTACCACTGCCTGCCTGACAACACAATACAACTCACACAATGAGACACTGACATTTCTGAAATGTTCACCATTAGCTCAGCTGCACTTTGTCCTTTAGTTACCTGCCCCACTGTGGCCGTATTCCTTGCATCTTCTGACACAGCAATGGCTTTACCCTGCTCGTTCCACACGTGACGAATAACTTGAAGTGCATGTTTTGGCAGTGTGCTGATGCCACTGCCCAAGGTGGCAATGAGTTCTTCTGTAGAGAGGTTGTTTCTGGCTGCTGTGCTGTAATAGATATATCCAGAGACCACTGCATCAATTTCATTCTCCACCAGTTTAATACAATGCCTCATTCCACCCCAAAGAGACAGCTTTTATTTCTACTTTACATGTACTTTAAAACAATTCAGTAGCCCGTGATTACTTTTTTTACCAGAATGCTACTGATCTTTTGTATACATGTGCAAAAAATAACATGACCCTAATATGTCTTAATATGCAAAGGCCTAGCTTTACAGGGCTTCCATAACATCTGACATTAAGCCAAAAATAACCACAGCCTCCAAGTGCTGTAGCAACTGAAAGAAGGCTGAAGTCAGTGATGGGTGTGTGTGTAGAGCAGGATCATTATTTAAAAAAAAAATTAATTAAACACTCAGTAGGAGGAATTGAAGTACCACCAAAGGTAAGGACTTCTATGTCACAGTATAATGGTTACTAACAGAAGTCAAATGATGCCACAATTCAACTGAAAAGGCAGCAAGTTCAAAAGAAAATTGTCACTTGATTTCCTTCACAGAAACAAGTAAACAAAAAATCCTGTATGTTTGCTCATGCAGCTTCACTCCTCTTAAAGAGGCATTAATACAAGAGAAAGTGAGTTGGGCCTTCAAGCAGCATAGTTGAATATAACTCCAGATGTTCTATTTTACGGATGGGAAAATAGTATTTCAAATTTCTACTGATATATTTTCCTGAATTATATTAATGTTACATAAAATGTTTAGATACTAGATATTAAAAGAACAAGCAAGATCTTGAAAATTTTATCTTTCTAAAAATAGAAAAATTTATCAACTAAAAATACTACCTAAAAACTCAACTCATGGCAGAGCGCAATATTATAAGCTCTATATCCTTCAAAAAGGTACCAATGCTGTTTTCTGATCTCCAAGAAACAAGAAGTTTTTAGAACACACTTTTTCAAGGCAAAGGTCCAGCTGACTCAGCTTTAAAAGTGAGCTTAACTTCCCCTATCTTGCCACTTGTTCTAGAGCTTGCAGCATCTCAAAAAATAAAAATAAAAATAGGTAATTGTTCTAATTACAAGTGATACTATATATTAAGTACCTACACTTTTCAATGACACAATCTAAGCCCAGATGTTCTTTTCTGTGTACTGAGACTTAGAAACTTTTGCCCTTTTCCCAAATCAGTTCATTTTATACTGACACTTGATATAACTTCTCAATGCCACCATTATGTTGTGATGGAAAGAAAAAAGAAATGGTGCAAAGTAAATTATTTTGTGCTTACCTAAACAGAAATGAAAGAGTGTTAGCTACTTTTGCCAGATCACCAATATTAATGTCAATCCCCGAAGTTTGAATTCTCTAGAAACAGAATGTTTAAATAATTACAAATAATAAATTATGCATTAGTGAAAACATCTTTGTATATACAAACACACAAGAAACCCCACATCAAGTCAGAAATTCTAACCTTAACAGCAGATACAGCTACTATTTTTGCTCACAATGGCTGGTGTGCCAACTTACCCGACACAATTCAGCTGTATTTACACCTGGGATCTTATGGTTCAGATGCTGAATTATTTGTTCACACTGTGAAATAAAAAAGCATGTTTGAAGACATTGTTAATACAAAAATGGACAAAAAGAGTGAAGAGTAAAGACTGAAGTAATTGAAATGACTGATTTTAAAATTCCATCAAATCCAAGGAAAGAAAATGAACCAAATCAAGACTTTAGTTTCTACCTCACTATTGCTAATTAACACACCAATTTTATATTATCTGCTCAAATACCCACTACAGTAAACAAGCCAAGTGTTTTTTAGACCAGTTACCTTGATATATCATGTAAATGACAGAGAAAATAAGATTTTTTGAAGCCTTCTGTGATAAAAACATAAATTTAAATCAAACCTATTGCTCTTAGCAGGACTGATCTGTTTTACGAGTCAAGGTACCACATACCTAAGGTTCCCTTTGCATCACACATAACCCAAAAGAGCTTAAATAAAAAGGTTTCCTGAGTGCTAGAAGCCATTCCCCATCCCATTTATCGCCCTACTTACCAGCTCAGCAAAAAAGTCTTGAGGTATTAAACGTATCTTATCTGCTGCACCACCACCATCTGTAAAACAGTAGCGATCAGAAGCAAATACCTAAATAAAGTGCTACAGCAATCAATCAAATCTTTCTCTGAAAACTGCCTAGGCCGTCATGCGTGCATCTACCGTCACGGAACGCAATTAGTTTTAACCCACACGTACCTAAAGGCAGCCCCGGCTGCCCGAGCCCCCCGCTCCCTCAGCCCGGGCCCCCCGGCCCTCACCCAGCGCCGCCCGCGCCAGCGCGCCCGCCGAGCCGGCGGCCATGGCACCGCCGAGCGCCGCTTCCGCCACACAGCGTCCGCCGCGCTGATTGGCTCCGAGCGCCCCCAGAGCGAGGCAGCGGCAGCGGCGCCGCGCTGATTGGCTGCGGCGTGGGGAGCACGCGCTGCCGCGAGTGCTGCTGCCCTCGCGGAGCGGGCCGCGGGAGCGCTGAAGGGCGGAACCGCCCGCAGCCAGGCGCTCGGTTGGTACAAGTTGTTCGCTGAGAGTGGTTTGCTTACAGGGTTTTCCTGGTGCTCGTTGTCGAAGGCCCAGATACGCAAATCAGAGAGCCACAGAATGCTGAGGGGATGGAAGCGGCCCTAGAGATCATCCAGCCCCAGCCTCCTGCCATGGGCAGGGACGCCTTCCTCTAGACCAGGTTGTCCCATCCAGCCTGATCTCGAGCACATCACAGATGGGACATCCACAACCTCTCTGGGCAACGCATTCCAGTGCCTCACCACCTTTGCAGTAAAGAATTTCTTCCTAATATCTAAACTAAATTTCCCCACTTTCAGTTTGTACCCACCATTCCCCCTCTCCCTGTTGCTACATTTCCTGATGAAGAGTCCCTCTCCGGCTTCCTTGTAGGTGCCTTTCAGACACTGGAAGTTGCCATGAGGTTTCCACACGACCTTTTTTTTGTTCTCCGGGCTGAAGAGCTCCAACTTCCTCAGCCCATCTTCACAGGGGAGTGATGCCTGTTCGGTGTGCATGTTCCTCAGTTGGTAACTTGGTACCGAATTACTCTGCTTTGTGCTTTGTACACATGGACTGTGGAATCAGCCCATATGCCTTCAAATAAACCACTTGTGTAGGTAAACTTCAGCTTTATGGGGAAATAACCGCCTTTTGTAAAACTACAAACAGAACTGTGTTCAATAGACATTTCAAACTGATATTAAGTTTGAACTGTGTCTGGAGTACTAAGACAACACTGACCCTTCAGCAGTTTTACTTGTCAAAAAATATTTTTACACGTCTCTAGTATCAGTTTTACCTTTGCTTTTAACTTTTTAAATACATATAGAGATAATAATATAATCTCAGTAGATCTCTTCTGAGACTGTGACAGTAGTTAAACATAACTCGTCACACAGTAGTGCTAACTAAATCTATTGGCAAGTGCAAAGCCAATTAGCCACAAAACAAAGAACTTAGGCTGGTTAAAACCAGACAGACGAAGGAATACCATAACTGCACATGCTATGAAGTCAAAGTTAAAAAGTTGAGATGTGAAGAAGACCGTGGTAGCCTTCACAAAAGACCTCTGATGAGCCCCAAATTGGGGAGACACAAACACAGTGCCAAAGAACGATCTAATAACCATGAGATCATACTGTGTAAATTAGTTCTGGTGTGTATGTGACGACACTAAGCAATACTTGCTGTATATATACCACAGCACTTGACAAAGGCGGATGGAGAAATCCCCCTCACCACCAGCGCTGCAACGAACAAATGCCTGCTCTGTAGATATCAGTCTGTGGGGATTTATTTCCAGCCTATCTTTCAGGCATCAGAATCTGTAGTATATTTCAGGAAAAGACTAATCATTATGGAATATGGTGTGTTTTTATGAGCATTATACATTTATGACCTGTCTGATCTTGGCCTCTCCCTTCTAAAGTATCTAATTAAGTGTGCAAATGATTATGAGTAGTCTATGTTTTTACGACCTCATGGTTGTCAAAATACCAGCAATGTATGCATCACTGAGATCTCTCTGATGCCGAGGACTTAACAATCCCTTTGTTCTTAACTTACCTAACTCTGATACATACTTTATTATCTAGAACACTTTACATATTATTTTATATTACAATTTCATTAAGTCTCTCAGTAGTGCCCTTAGCACTATGACTAATATTCATTATGGTACTTTTCTTTCTTACTTTCTATCTCCAACATGTGGAGATGGGAGCTGAAGTTTCATATCTTGGTGGTTAGGTAATTACAAAATCATTTGCTGAAATTTTAAAATATTTTGGGTTTACTTTCATCAGCAAATAAATATGAATTAAATTTTAAAATTTGGAACAGAAGGTGTGAAGGTGGTGAAATATGAATTGATTTTGGCTTGTCTGCCTATCTGTGGAAAAGAGGCTGACTCCAACCTGTCGACAGTCTCTTTCCAAATGGTTGTAGAGTGGTGAGATCCCCCTCAAGCCTCCTTTTTTTCCAAGTTAAGCAACCCCAGCTCCCTCAGCTGTGCCCCTCATAGGATGTGCTCTCCAGACCCTTCACCTGCTTTGCTGCCCTTCTCTGGATTTGCTCCAGCACCGCTGAACTGCAGATTCCAGAATGGACACACAGGAGGTGTGCTCTCACCAATGCCATGATGTGTTACTTTATTTTTAGCCTTTCTGAAATAACTTGAAAGAAGGCATAACACTAAAGGCATAACATCTGGTACGTGTACATATATAAAATGTAATGTATATGCTATGTATGTATTAACTGTATATGCTATGTATGTGTTAGATTGTGCTTCATCTTAGCCAAAAGGCCAAGAAATGTTACTAATGGTCCTGAGATGGGAAGTATGATGGGATTTGTAGCTATAGAAGATAAATGTTGTGTTTGATCGTGTTTAACACATCTTGCAGTAATTTTCAGCAAGACATATGGGGACCTCACCACCCAAGTCCTTCCTGCTACACTGTCTTCTCAGGCAAGATGAAGCCAGGGAGCAGGCACCCATCTTTTCTCTCTGGCAGTCAGTGCCAGGACCTGTGGGAATGGCCTGAAGCTGTGTCAGGGGAGGTATAGGTTAGGTATCAGAAGAAGCTTCTTCACCCAGAAGGTGGTTGGGCACTGGAACAGGCTCCCCAAGGCAGTGGTCACAGCACCAGCCGGCAGAGTTCAAGAATCGTTTGGACATACTCTCTGGCACATGATGTGACTCTTGGTCCTGTGCAGGGCCGGGAGCTAAACTCCATGATCCTCGTGGGTCCTTCCAGCTCAGAATATTCTGATTCTGTGGCGCGGGGTAATTTACTGCCTCTGCTGCTCAGCAGCTGCTCTGGATGCCTTTGTCCCGCCTGGCCCCGCGGCCTGCCCGCCGCCCGCGAGCGTCATTTCGCTGGGCGCTGCCCATGCCTGCCCGCCGCGGCTGCGCCCAGCTGCTGGAGGCCTCGGCAGGGCCGGTGCCGGGGCGCCCGGCGGGCTCTCCCCGCGGCCCCGCCGCGCCCCGACACCGAGCGGCCGCCCCCCGGCGGCTGCGGCAGGCCGCGGCGGCGCGGGAGCGGAACCACCCGTTGCCCCGCTGGGAGAGTCCATTGCCGGGGGAGCCAGGCGGGCGCGGAGCGGGGAATCTCCCGGGCCTCGGCGCCGGAGCACTCCGGGAACAGAGGGCGGCCACTGCCGAGCGCGCCGCCTCGGCCACCTGAGCGAAGCGGCGCGGCGGTGCGGGCGGGCGCTGCGCGGGAGTTTCCTCCGCCGCCCGCCCCCCCTGCGAGGCGCGGCGCGGTGACGCGGCCCCGGGTCGGGGCTGAGGCGCGGCGGCACCGCGAGGCGCTGTCAGAGCCCGCCGGGAGGGTCCGCCCAGCTCCGCGCCGGGATCCGCCGCCGCTGCCATGGAGCCCCATCGCTGGCTGCCCCTGGAGGCCAACCCCGACGTGAGTGCCCGGCCTGGGCAGGGCCGCGCTGCGTGTGCGCGGGGGCTGCCCGCCCCACAGCCTGCCTGCTGCGGGCTCGGCGGGAGGATGGCGGAGGGCACGGGGCTCCGCGCCGGACCTCATCGCCTCTGCAGGGCTGGCGGGTGGTGTTGGAATGAAGGTCTTATCCCGTGGATTCGACTGGGTGTTAACTATCTTCTGTTTTCTGCTTTCTTTTCAGGTCACGAATCAGGTAAGAAGCTTTTATCTGAGGTAACCTTTAGTCTGTAGCTTTGGGCCCATCTCCCGTCGTTTTCGTGTAGTAAAGGCTCCTTGTTGTCCAAGGAGAGTGCCCCCTTCCTTCGCCACGCGTGTCTGCGCTCAGTCTTCCCATGTCGGACCGTACTGGAACCTCTCCCGTAAAGATACTATATGAAAGAAAAACGAACAGTAAAAAGAGAATAGTTGTGGCCTGGTTGTTACTGTAATGAAATCTCTGATGTTTTTCAAGGTGGGTTTTAATTCATTAATTAGTGATTAAAACATTAATTTATATATAACGTGCCAGGTGTGGACCTGTACATGATGGCTTTGGGCACATGTATGGATCTGCTTGCATCGCTGTGTTGTAGTCTCATTCTTTGGCTGACCATAAAAAATAATAAAATTTTACCATATGTGCACTTTTCTGCTTATTAATGACAATATGTGTATGATTGGTTGTTGCTGTTTTTGTCAGTGTGGTAGAACCCATGCTAGAGAAAGGAAGCTTGTTCTAGTACACAAAACAATGTTCCTACTAAATAAGCTCTATCTGAAAGGAAATTGCACATACTCTAACCCTGTGTCATGTTCTCAGTGACAATTTTAAACATAGCATTAATGATCAGTTGTTGATTTCAGCAGGCTTGTTGATAGTGTTAAAGATAGTGTTTAAGCCAAGAGGCTCTGAAACCTCCAGCACCAAAATTTTATATTGACGATTTCAACAACTATATTGTTGAAATATTTTGGAAACTGGGAATTTCTGTGTATGAACAATATTTTGTTTGGGTTTTTTGTTGTGGTTGCTGTAATATACAAGCTACGGGAGAGTGAGAGGTTATTTGATGCTGGGTCATTTTCTGCTTTAAGGCTTCCTAGGGCAAATAATTTTACAATTTTTACAGTGTTGCTGCTGTGGAGCAATTTGAGAAGTCTGTAATCCCAGTCTCCTGAGTTAAAATTGACAGCCTTTTCTGGGGGCCCATCTTGAACATGTGCTATAGTTTCCTTTTTTTTTTTTTTCTTTTTTTTAAATTTTGAAATTCAGAGACTAAATACCAGTTTGGAAGAAAATAAGTGAATAAATGATGTGTAAAAATTTCCATTTATCTAACTTTTTCTTCTGACTTTCTAGATGGTGAGATA